GTTACTCCTGAGTATGGCTGTGTGGCAGAGAGGTCAGCAGCCAACCAATTAAGTGAGGCCACCCCACAGGCGGGTGAGTGGATGGGCGAGGAAGGTGCGAAGTAATTAGACGTGGAACTAAATAGGCTCACCCGGAATAAGTTTGCTCTTGGACCGTCCGGCCCGCCGGCGGGCCACAGCAAGGGCCCGCGAAAAACGCGCTCGGTCCCTTGCGCCAGACACGCTTAAAAGGAGTGTCCGCCAATGAGTTAAAGGCACATCTCACGATAATTTTTGAGCACCCGGTTTCTGACGGATAATGAAAGATACGGCCCAGAATAGTGCAAAAATAACGAACAAAGCGCAAGGAATGGCGTATAGAAAGAAACACAAGGGCACAAAAAAGTAAGAAAATAGATGGTAAAAAGTAGTAAAATAGAGTCCTGAACGAGTCTTGGGCAAAAAAATTGCGTGAAAGGGGTGTTTGCGCGAGTTGTGCTGTCCTGCGTCTCTGACACCGGACGGCAGAGTGCATAGAGACCGCGCTAGCGCGCAGAGATGGTTTGATGCCCAGCTCTTTACACGAGATAATCATCTCACCCACCCCGAACCTCCTCCCGACGGACTTTCTATGCACTGGCCGCATTCATACTAGGTGCAGTGTAGTGCACGCAGGTGCAGTGTACTGCAGTCCACTGCACCAGACCGCAGTCCACTGCACCAGTGTACGACATCAATCGATCGACAGCTGACTCATCCTACGGGATGATTGTTTGGGATAATTGTGCTCCTTTTTCTCTTCGCTCAGAGCGGATTATGTTGTGATTTTCATTTTTTATCACGACGAGTAATATGACCGGTCTTCCGTGCGCGTGATATTCGCAAGAATTCATTATTTTTCCATTTTTTTCATCCATCTTATCTCAGCATTTTGTTGTGAGAATTTTTCTATTTTACTTTTTCTACTTTTTCTATTCGAATTTTTTACTTCTATTTTTTCTTGCTCTGCTTCCTAGTTAGTACTGGTGTGTTATGCGTGCATTTCTTTATTCGTACTATTCTAAGTCCTTATTTCGGAACCAAAACATGTCAGTACTAGTTAGAATATAAAGCAGGGAAAAATAGAAGTAATGTAAGCGTGAGCGCATCTCACAGCTTTGGCTTACTGTACGAGCTCTACAAAACCCCTGTATGACTCAGTATTTCAGGGCGGAGTCTGCAAGCCGAAGCGAAGGGAGACGTCTGGCGACGACGACAGCGAGTGCCGTCGACTTCCCTACTCCTTCTCATCCAATACCCATCATCATGCTCTTTCTCTAAGGGCGAAGCCCTCCATACGAAGAGCTGACTTACCGTGTTATCTTTCTCTATCTAGTAGTCTTTGTATGACAGTTACTTGCCCATCCTCGTTTGTGCGTTTATTTCATGATGTAGTTACAAGATAATATCGGGTCATATTACCTCTTTACTCTGTATCGATGTCTTAAAGATAAACCATATTAATCTGACGTCTCGCGTAACACGATATCAGCCGCTCCACTGGGCGCGCTTGCTTACTGGTAGCAGCGAGTGGTTCACCCCTCGCTATGGAGGAAAAAAGGATGAGTTGGGTTAGGTTTCAGTAGGGATCTTAATTACGGTGACGACTCACGAAGCTGGCCAGTTCGTGTTAGTACCTTTTTAAATGTTGAATCCAAAGTCGATAGCCTCGCCAGATGGATCGAGCAAGGACTACAGTATTTTTTTCTTTGATGGCAGCCGGCTCTTTCTCCAGCTGTATATCGAAGCGTCACTCCGCCGTCAGATGCCTTCGGCAGACGGCGCCTTTCTTCTAGTGTTTCTTCGAACGTCGTCTTTCTTCTGGAGCCTGGAAAAGCGTTCCTCTCTTCAGATGTGCAGCTTTCTTCTGTCACTTCAGCCAGATGCGCTCCTTTCTTCAAGCGCTTCGTCCAAACGTCCTTCCTTCTAGTGTTCTGTCCAGATGCCTTCCTTTTTTTGAATCCCATATTACTGTAATCCTTGTCCGATGTTCTCAGCGATCTCCTGTAAAGGTGGCCTACAGAGCGAGGGCTAAATCGCTCATGCTGTAGTTCCGCGGAGACCGGTTGGTCAAAAGTCTAGACTTGTTTAAAGGTACCAGTGGAGTTGTGAAAGCCGAGGGAAGCTCAGTGCCCATTTCAGGGAAATGGAGGTAATGGAAGTGTTGGAGCTAAGGAGAGCTCAGAGCCCATTTCAAGGAAATGGAGGTAGAGAAAATCGTCGTGGCTGCGCAGCAAAATTCGACGTGAGGATTTGATAGCCGACAAGTTGTAGTGAGGAGCGTAACAAGTTGAGAAAGTGAGGTTCATTTTGTGCAATTGTGAAGTCGTAATCGGTTGTGTTCTGGTACCGCGGAAACGAAGTAATGGATACTCAGAGTTATAGGTGAGTATTAGTATTACGGCCGGTTAGCCCATAACAAAGACCTTATTACCTCGATGATTTGCTCATCTTGAGGAAGTACGTTAGTGCCTGACACAGCAGCGTCTGGCAACTTTTACCACACGGGGATAGAGCTGAGCGTGATTTGAAAGAAGCTCAGCGATCAATACGAGATTCAGGTCGATCCAGCTGAGCGGGAATTCTGTAGAGGGTCAAGGAAAAACGAGAATTCCTTGAACAGTACATGGAAGGCCCCACTAAGTTCCTCTACATGTCCGAAGAGATCCAACACGAATATGAGATAGCAGAGAGCTGTCTCCCAATCGATAGAGAGGTGGTTAAGCTTATGTCCCGTGTCCGACGCCCGGCCATCCTTTGTCTCACGAAGGCCTCGCTGTTGAATAAGACGGACCCGTCAAATGGTCTCTTCCGTAGACAGTCGAGCTCGTTCGGCACAATAATAGGAGACAAAGCGTCTCAGATACCCGAACCCGCCTTGGCCGCCATAGCTAGCCGCATTCCGGAGGCAAAACAGCGCTACATAGGGGATATACATCAACTTGAACCCCATGCTCAATGTCAGCGAACTTCGAACCCGGCTATTTTTGGCGCTCGCAGTGTCATGAGCGTTCTAGTGGGAGCGGCAGCTGTTCCGGTGTCCCCTCTAGTTACAACCTTTAGGGCGCACCCCGCTCTCAATGCGCTCCCTAACCTTGTGGCCTACGATGGCACGCTCCTCAACGGCACAGGTCCCGAGTCGCGACAGCTCTTGCTGTCGGCTATGCACTTCCCCACCCCGGAAGTCCCCTTTATATTTCTTAACATTGCAGGACAATCCACGAAGGCGGCCAGTAAGTCGCATTTCAACACGGACGAGGCTAACACCTGCGTTCGATTAATCGAAGTGTTGCTAGGGAAAGGCATCCAGCCAGATCAGATCTGCGTGATATCTTCCTACAAGGAGCAATCACGCCTCGATCGACTAGGCGTCGAGCTGACCACCGTGGATTCCGTTCAAGGACGTGAAAAGGAGGTAGTTATTCTTCTAACGACCAGAACCAACTTTTCTGCTAATTCAGCCGACTTCCTGGACGACTACAGACGCGTCAATGTAGCGACCACACGATGCCGTCACGGACAATTCATTCTGGGCAACGCCGAATCTTTGACGACAGTACCGTTCCGGCGGCGGATCCTCGACTGGGCAGCGTCGCTCAACGCCATTGTTCCAGCATACACCTTCGACTGGGATATGTAGCGGGTAAAGTCCCGTCACAGTAAGTCCGCTCTTCAATCTTTTAAGTCCGGGACGGACTTGGTGTAAAGGGGGGAGGTGTAAGCGTGAGCGCATCTCACAGCTTTGGCTTACTGTACGAGCTCTACAAAACCCCTGTATGACTCAGTATTTCAGGGCGGACTCTGCAAGCCGAAGCAACGAGAAACGTCTGGCGACAACGACGCCGAGCGCCGTCGACCCCCTACACCTTCTCATCCAATACCATCATCATGCTCTTTCTCTTAATACGAAGCCCTCCATACGAAGAGCTGACTATACCGTGTTATAGAGTAGTGGTTTTGTATAACAGTTTCTTGCCCATCCTCGTTTATGCGCTTATTGTATCATGATGTAGTTACGAGATAACAGCGGGTCATATTACCTCTCTACTCTGTATTGAAGCCTTAAAGATAAACTATATTAATCTGACGTCTCGCGTAACACGATATCAGCCGCTCCACTGGGCGCGCTTGCTTACTGTAAAAAAAAGTATAGAAAAAATAAAATAGGAAAATTCCCCCAACAAAATGCTTAAATAAGATGGGTAAGAAAAATAAGTGAAAAAATAATGAGCTCACGCGAACATTACGCGACCTCCAGAAGGTAGCGACGTCGCCGTCGTCGATATTTCGGCAATTATATCGGAAGATGCTCGTCTGGAATCTTGAGTCGACGCACAAATGATCTTCCTATCGTCCTCAGGAGCGGCAATCCGTAACCTTCCCAAACTGGTTCGCTTTTGGGCCTATGAGAGACTCAATACCTCTGCTACCTTCGTAATCGTAGACATTGGTACACAAACAGCCTTGGATGTTGAGCATGGGTCAATTCCTGCTTACTGCCCGTGGCAATGGCGGAGAGCTGCTCCATGGTCAGAAATCGAGAGCCAGAGTTTTGTCTCTTCACTGAGAGCGATTAGCTAGCAGAATAGGAAAATCACCAATATTTTTAGACTCGAAAAACACAATGAAACCCTACCCGAAGAACATGGCCCCTTCGCAATTTTTTCGAAAAATAAATTCACCTACTTGGCCGGAGGTGAGCTACCGCCAATTCTGCGTTGCAAGAGAGTCAGTAATATTTGAAAAGAGTGCTGTCAAAAAATCAGTTAAAAAGATTGAGTTGGAGATGAGTTATGGCAGAAAAGGTCAAGGTGATTTCTTTTTGAACGGTACTGTATATATACATATATAAATACATATATATGTATATATATACTTTCTTGTCACACAAGGTTGGCGAATCCCTTTCGAAACCGAAGTCTTGTCTATGACTCGCCAACCTTTGAGACTTTCGCATCGCGTATGCGGGGAAATAACAGCAGTTAACAAAACGTCGAGTCAAGACAAGTGTTATACCTTTCTGACTGGAACACACAATCTCGGAGCTGACGAAACAATATTTTACAACCGTCAAAATACAAACACATCGACTTGATAATCACGAAAAAAGAACGAGTAAAACAAAGAAGAAGTACCTCACTCCCGTTAAAGTACCACTGTATTCTCAATGGAACAACACTAAGTTTCCTTGGCGAGCAAGGAATTGCCAGACGAGAGCCTAACGGAGACAGCTTCTCTGCTTGGGAAGGCTTCAGAATCGGTTCTTCTGAAACGATGCAGTTGTTGGCAAATACACATTAAAGATAGTATCAAAATGTCTCACCTACGATCCTGATCTTCAAGGACTTCTGATCAAATAGCACTCCTGATGCTGCATCTACTTTGCATTCCAACTCGTGTTCGTTACGATCCTACAAAAAAGTAAAACCATCTGAAATAAAGAACGACAAAAACTACTCTTGCATTCCTGAAACATTTCAATGATTCTAACGAAACAAGTGCATTAATTTGCCCCAATGAAGAAACTAACATTATCCAGGGCATCTGGTACCATTAATGTTAGGTGACGGTTGTTCTGAGAAAGTTCGACTCCTGCCTCTGCTCCAGAAATCACTGCGCCATTCAGGAACCATCGGGTTCGAGATCCGTCCCTAGATTCACCATGACTTAGAGACGTCATGATCCAAAAATCATGGATTTGTGCAGTAACTAGGAGAGTAGTGAACTCCTTCTTCAACTAACCAGGGAGGGGTAGTCTTCTTATCTTGGAACTTTGAATTCAGACCCAGATAATTCGATAGAGTTTTGAATGCTGTTTACGAAAATGGAAATTAAAACTGCAAAATGATTCTCCTTAAAAAGTTATGGGGGCCCCAATTTTGCTCGACAGTAGTATCAAT